GTGGGGCAGCTAGTGCCCCCTCCCCAGCAGACCAGGCTTTTCTTGCCTACCCCTGGGGTAGAGCAGCTGGGGGCTGCCGGGTCGGTCCCGCAGCGCTGCTCCGGACCAACCTGGTAGCACCCCAGCTGCTTTGCCCCGGGCTTCCTGGAATCAGCCGCTGATCAGTTTCAGCAGCAGCTGACTTGGGGACGCCTGGGTTTCTTAAGTTGAATCTGTATGTAAGTCAGAACTGGCGTCCCGATTCAGCCGTGGTTGAAACTGATCAGTTTCAGCAGCGGCTGACACCAGTTCCGACTTACATACAGATTCAACTTAAGAACAAACCTACAGTCCCTATCTTGTACGTAACCCGGGGACTGCCTGTACAGCCCAAATAAATGTACTTAAGAGTGGAAGCTCCATGAGGCCAGGACCATCTTTGTTTGTGATCTTCCCCCCAGTTGTATACTGGTCCCTGGGTTGCTAGTTGCTGAGGCAATACAAATAAAGTAATAGTGGTACATAATCCAGTGTGACATATTACCAGATCTTTGAAAAAATCCCACTGAAGTGAGTGCCTTCTTGAGAGTTTAGAGTCAAGTCTGCTTCTGGCTGTAGTAAGCGGATTTCTTTTTCTTTTAAACTTCAGCACAGGACATCATCAGACACAAATTATTGGCCTGTGGGACTCTACAGTCTTGTTGCTAATGGAAATAATCTCTTATAAAATGCTGGTTAATTACTGTTCTCAGTAGAACTTGTTCTAACATTGTGGAATTGGGTATCAAGCATCTGAATGATCATCCTATTTGAGTACAGGTTATCCCACTTTCCATGTAAAATGTATTATCTGTGAATGTGTAATATATAACATTTGGGAAACCACATTTCCTCTTTGATGTTACCTTTCCAGCAATGGTAATGTTGCCTATGCAACAGTAAAGTCTAGGGGAAAAATCTCTTTTGGCTACTATAGAATTTCTGTGTAAATTGTTTGACTGTGAAGCATATGAACACTGTATATGGAGAGGGGTAACTAGTGGTGTCCCCCAAGGGTCAGTCCTGGGACCAATCCTTTTCACCTTATTCATATGTTGAATGATCTGGAGAAAGGGATAAGCAGTGAGGTGGTAAAGCTTGTGGATGATACCAAACTGTTTAGGATAGTCAAGACAGAAGCAGACTGTGAGGGACTCCAAAAAGATCTCACCAAACTGAGTGATTGGGCAACAAAAGGGCAAATGAAATTTAATGTGGATAAGTGTAAAGTAATGCACATCGGGAAAAATAACCCCAACTATACGTACAGTATTATGGGGGCTAAATTGGCTATGACAAATCAG